CACACTGTTAAATGAGAAAAAATTTTGCTTAGTGATTTTCTACTAATTTATATATATATATATATATATATATATATATATATATATATATATATATATATATATATATATATATATATATATATATATATATATATATATATATATATATATATATATATATATTGTACAGACAAATAAGCACATAATATTTCTCTAAAATTTACAGACTAAATTAAGTCTGACTTATTTTATTTTATTAGTTTAATAAAATAAAATAAGCCTACTCCAGTGATATCTGCAGATGTTTCCGGGTCGTTGAAGAATTTCCTGCTTGTGTTGACGTTATTGGTATTCCCAAATCCAACCTTAGGTATGTCGACAAGAATGCCCATTTTGCTCCAAAGAAAATCCAAGAATTCATCTTGGATTTTCTTTTTCCTATCTGAGATGAGTCTCTTCTCATCTTCATTCAGCCTTTTCTGACATTTTTTTACAGGCAATTTATATGATAGGTGAAGGAGACTTTCAAAACACCGTATTCTAGCATGCAGAATGGATAGTCCAAATTTGTAGCTGCTTTGATTGTCAACACATGTTCTGTCCAAGTCATTAAATTGTCTTGATGTTGCTCCACAAATATAACATCGCATGGTCGATTTAGTGGTGGCTGCTGCGTTACAGACTTTTCCGTCAATCATAGTTAACATCATCACATGTTCTACTGCTATGTCTTGAAGTTGAGTTGGTTTCAAGCCTGCAATTTTGTTTTCCATGTAAGCAATTTCTTCAGCTATTACATCAGCAGTTTCTTTTATGAACCTAATTCGAATTGGCCTGAATAACCTTGGAGACGATGGTGTAGGGTTTTGCCAGATAACCTTTTTATTTACTCTACAAGTTAGCTGTAATGGAACCATTGAGCATTGAAATATACTGGCATCAGAGTTAGAGTCATCCTCAAACTTTTGATTAAACTGTGTCTGCTGGGAGCCATCACAACCCCATTTCGTAGATAATTTCATATGTTTACGCCCACTTTCCGTAAGAGTCTTGATAACTTCTTCTAAATACAACACCAATCTTTCGGCAGTATGGTTTAACAGACTTTGTAAGTCTACTTCAGCTATACTTTCAGAGCCTCTAACGGTGTCAATGATTTTTTGTAGATTCAAGACTGCTGCGATAGGCTTTTTTATACATTCCCGCTCGTTTAGGAGATGTTTTAAGATCTTTGAGGACGGTTGCAGCACTTCTTTTGCCACTTGTTGTCAAACAAGTTTTAGCTGCAAAAACAATAGCTTCTGGTTCCACATCTTTCCTGAGCTGTTCTGTTTTTCTCCTCTTTGAACGTTCACTAGAATCGACAAAACTTTTTCTTGGTCGTCCGGCTGATGATGGAGTGGATGGGGTACCTAGTATTTGGAAACTCCTTTGCAGCCAAGGGCCATGCTTCTTAATAAATATTTCATGAGTTCTGGATGAAGACGAACACATTTTTCTAAAAATAGCTTTCTACCTCGACATTTGACGCTTGTATACTGTTTTTAATTCTTCGGTATATTGATTTCTTGATAACAAATTTTGATCAGCTAAGTCCATTTTTTCATTGAAATTTGGAGCCTCCTGCTGCTGAATAGTGTTGTAGAAATCCAAACGAGAGATTGTTTGCATTCCTGATGACCCATCTTGAAAAAATAAATTCAGTTGAAAAATTCATCTTTGACCTTGATGTGCTTAGAACATGACTAAAATTTAGATGGCATCAACAGGCAGTTGAAATTAAGGTTTTTAAATAGCTAGTGGTATAAACTCATAGAAAAACGAAAAAAACTAAAAGGGTTTTAATGCGCACTGCAACTTCTTCAATTTTAAAGTCAAAATTTACTTTAAAATTCGTTAAAAAAATGCTAAGTTTCATGGTACATAACTTTTGTGGTATTTAATATTTCAAAACGGTAGTAAGAGTAAATAATGTACATACCTGTCATAGATTTGTCTATGATATAACACTGTAAAACTTCTGTTGTAAACACTTGTGCACAGCTTCAATAAACACCACTAAAATCGCTCGTAAATAAAATGAACCACGCAGATATAGATCAGAAACTTAATTAGACTGTGTAGTTCCAATCACTACTTTTATAACCAAACCATTAACTGCTCATTAAGCGAGCATTATCGAGAGATAATAAGGGTAGGTAATTAAGTGGGTAAGGCCGCTTTTAATAATTCCAAATTTGGTCAGCTAAAATCGTCAAATACTCCTACGTGCGTTGATAAAGCATTAAATTTGAAACGCTGTTAAAGTAGCTTTTTGCGTAAGTTGAGTCGGCGTTGAACCAACGTTTTATTTAAAGAAGCTATATTACGTTACATTTTTAACGCTTATTCAACGTTTCAATTTACCGCGATTTAGTATACAAAAACAGACATCGATTCAACGTTGAAAGCACTTTGTTTTTGTGACTGTAATGCTTTTTCTACGCTGCGATTGGTTTTTAACGTTAAATCAACGCTGACATTTTTGCTGGTTATATTAAATTTTGTCTTTTTTTGTGACATTATTATTACCTTTATGTGAAATTGTCTATGATTCTTTTATTTTGACGTTATTTAAATTGTTATGTTCAATTGTTTATGATTCATTTGTTTTGACATTATATATATTGTAGTTTTATTTATAGACAAATATATATATATATATATATATATATATATATATATATATATATATATATATATATATATATATATATATATATATATATATATATATATATATATATATATATATATATATATATATATCATTTTAATAATAATTTACTTTTTTTAAATATGCTATATTTCAGGTATATCATGACATTTATTAAAGTTGAGTTTCTTGATTATCCCGAAGACCTTGAAGAAACTCCTGAATTGGGTATTATTCCTAAGAGTGGGCTGTTTTCTGTAGTAGAGGATTGTTGTCAATATCCATCATTTATCAGAAATACATAAAAAATTAACAAAATGGTTAAAGATGAAGTAGAGCCAGACAAAAATTGGCACGAGCACAGAAATAGAGTGCTTGGAAGAGCTTGTAAGTTAGCATTTGTCAAATGCCGTTAAAGTTATGTATTAAAAATGTTATGTATAAAACTATGTATTTATGTTTTTTATAATTTAATCTTTAAATATTATTAAAAGTGAAAGTAAACTATAAGATGTTGTTTAACATTGGTAAAAGTTCGACGCTGAAATTTATACAAAGAATTTACTAATAGCACATTAGGCTATCCGTGTAACTTTAAATGTACCCATAATTAAAGCTTTATTTGTCTCATTGTTCTGATACACGTTTTTACTTTAGTTATTATAATATTTATAGCAATTTAGAGGCCATTAGAAAATAAGAAGGTTGCAGGTATTGAGTCTGATCTTAATCTTACAGAAAATAAGAAAAAAACCATTACAAGTTACCTAAGGAAGCGGTATGTTTAAGTGAAATAGAAATATATAAGCAAATCTATTTTAATATATGTTTTTTCAATTCTTAAAATTGTTATTTCATAACTTTATAGAAAAGTACTCTAGAGCAGATTATTTGAAAGTGACCGTGAATCTGATGAAGATGCCAACTTCAAGATAATAACATCAATGCAAGAAAGAATGAAAAAAGGAAACTAATAAGAACTCCAGATGTTCCTGAATTTCCTAATTTAAGAGGTAAATATTTTTTCTTTATTCCATAATTTATTCCAAATATATATATATATATATATATATATATATATATATATATATATATATATATATATATATATATATATATATATATATATATACACACACACATATATATATATATATATATATATATATATATATATATATATATATATATATATATATATATATATATATATATATATATATATATATATATATATATGTATATATATATATATATATATATATATATATATATATATATATATATACATATATATATATATATATATACATATTTATATACATACATATATATATATTCATATATATTTATATACATACATATATATATTCATATATATTTGTATACATACATATATATATATTCATATATATTTATATACATATATATATTCATATATATTTATATACATACATATATATATATATATATTCATATATATTTATATACATACATATATATATTCATATATATTTATATACATACATATATATATATATATATTCATATATATTTATATACATACATATATATATTCATATATATTTATATAAATACATATATATATATATATATATTCATATACATTTATATACATACATATATATATTCATATATATTTATATACATACATATATATATATATATTCATATATATTTATATACATACATACATTAAGTTAAGCTGATTATCATTTTGAATCCTGTATTGGGGCAGGAGAGGCTCTTTAGCCGCATTGAGTGTAGCTTATTTAGGATAAGTAACTTTTCCTGTTATAAAACCCTGATGTAAAACCATAAATTTTAGCATAGTAGTAAAACTTTATTTACTATTTTCATTGTATTGTTATAGGAACAATGGACACTTTATTAATTGAGGTGAAAACATCCATTAAAGATTTACAGCGTCAATCTGAACTCAACACCCGGCTTCTTCAAACACTGCTAGATAATAAAAACAATTATGATGACAGATGATCGAGGAATACAATCTTCCGATTGGTAACATAAAAGATTAAGATGTGTTTGATAGTTTGTTAAAGCGAGACAAGTCAATTTTCAACAAATTGGTAAATGTTTTAATTAAAAAAAAAAAGTCGGAAAAGTTCTATTTAAATTATGATATATTTTTAAATATTTAATTATTTTTTTTACTTGATTTATATGCAAAGTGACACAATTTAAATTAAATGCAGTTAATTTGTTGAAATATAGGTGATTGTTATTGCTAGAAATTGTGGCCAGTCACTGAGAGAAATTGTAAAAAGGGCTATTAACTCATTATTAACAAACAGCCTACAACAAAAGTTTAAATTGAGTGGTAGTTGCCGGCTGGAGTCAAAAAAAACATTTTATCTAAAAAGTCTTTTCGCAAACTTAGTTTTTTTTTAGCGCTGCAGAGTAAGTAATTTTCTGTGAGTAATTAATGTGTTAGGTGTATTTAAATCATCAGAAAAACTAGTTTTAATTATTACTATAGCAAAAAATGTTCCTATTTATTGTAATATTTATTACTATAGATGTACAATTTATTTTGTCTAATTAGTGTCAATCTCGGCTCGTTGTGCATTCTAATATGTTTGTATTATAGGAAGAATCAATAAACATTTACCAACAAGATTAGTAACCGAAAGCGAGTTTCAGATTGAGGTCGTGCATTTTTTACGAGGAGCTGCAGGCAGGAATGGGGGGAGGAAAATGAGAGCAGTTAAAAGGAATACGCTTGAAAGAGATTCTTCTTCGAGTTAAAAATATAATTTTCAAGTAGTGAGAAGTTTAAATAACAATTACATGTATCTAATTATATTTTTGATATCTAATAGTTTATGAATTCAATCTTTTGTTTTTAGGCGAAATAAAGCGGTTTATTTTCTTGCCTCTGTATTGAAAACAGCGAATATTAAATTATTTTTGATTATTTTTTTACTAATTAATACTTTTATTTTATTCATTTAAATAAATTATTTCGTCCAAAAGTGGACCGAATGCTGCTTTGACCTGGCAAGCCGAAGGCGGCGCACCTATAGCTAACCTACAGCGGGTTATTAGTGGCTTGCTACTAAAGTTTAAAAGAAAAGATAGTCTTAATAGAACATAACCTGCTTTGAGCACATTAGTTAACGTAATCCCAACAAAAAGAACAAATATATGGTGTGCGTGTGTGTGTGTACGTATGACATTTTGCAGGCCATTTCAACCGGGCTGTTGATGGACCTATGGCGGCTAGACAGCAGCAAACCATTGCTAAACCTACATCGGCTTGCCGTTAGAGGACAAATGTTGCACTTATATCGGCTTGCCGTCTGCGGGCCGTCAAATAACCGATGTGCAAGGCTACGAGCCAGCGTTGTGGTTTGCCGACGTCGGGCCAGCGTGTGCGCTGCAAGAGGCCCAATTGCGGCCCGCATACATCTTGCTCACTTACATACATATATATATATATATATATATATATATATATATATATATATATATATATATATATATATATATATATATATATATATATATATATATATATATATACATACATATATATATATACATATATATATATAAATATGAATATATATATATATATATATATATATATATATATATATATATATATATATATATATATATATATATATATGTATATATATATATATATATATATATATATATATATATATATATATATATATATATATATATATATATATATATATATATCAGCGACGTATCTAGGCCAATTTTGATCCCAGTATACTGGTATCGGCCCCCAAATTTCTGCCCAAACTCGATTGAAACAATTTTGTCCTAACTCCCTAAAGCTGTTATATAAGCATTTGAGTTGGCACATTGAGTAAGTTTTGAACTATATTGGCAAGTTGCCAATATTGAGCACCTTTTTTTTTTTAAGCGGATGAAATATGGAATATGTTACTATTGGATTATATTATAAAATGCACATTTTGATTGGAATAATAAACGCTCATTTTTTATTTTTCTAAATCTTTTCATAAAAACATTTACTTGAAAAAAATATACTTTAAATCATTTATTTCCTGAAATAAGAACTAACGTAAGCGAAATTATTATCGCATGTGAATCAAACGAAAGCGTTATTCCTAATATCAATGAATATTCACTAGATTAACATATATATACGTGTCACCAATATCAGCAAAAATGGGAAACAATATTTCCATTTGCTATTTATTCTGCAAAAGATCAAGGTTTGTTATGTAGAATTTGTAAAGAATATAGGGATGTCGGAAAAGTGTGGAGAACTAAAGGCGCCAAGCTTTTTGAACATCCACAAAGGACATTTACTGCACATCAAAATTCAAAGAGAAACTAGGATGCTGCCAAAAAACGTCAACAGGTCAAAAAAATACTTTTCAACCAAAGGAAGTGTATAGAATCAGATGGTTGATGGCAGCTCGCTATACAGAATTGCGGGTAAACAGCGCACCCATAACATCATAAAAAAGTTTTTTAAAACTGTTAACCTTGTAAATAAAAAGAGCTAGGCAGTCCAGGAAAACTTTAATGATATTGTTGAATTTATACGAGATCTTGGCGATAAGGAGATATATTCACATTTTAAAATTGCTAGAAACGAGCAAAATACACATCATCAACTAGTGTTGATCAGTTCGTAAAATAATAAGTAACAAATTAGATAATGAGGTTTGCACAAAAATTATTTTGGCCCATGACTTTACTGTTTTTGCTGATGAGATAAGCGACATGACAAATAGGACTGTCTTTTTTGTTTTTATTACATATGTTGATTCTGAGTCTTTTACTATTGAAGAAATATTTCTTGGTTTATTCCAAGTTATTGGAAGAAAGGACGCGCAAAACTTATGTAAACAAATACAAATAGTTTTAAAATCTAAATCGATAGATATCCAGGAACTACGCTTCCATGGCTTTGATGTAAATAACACAATGAGTGGGGTGCGTAATGGTTTACATGCTAAGCTTAAAAAAATTTCTCGCTACTCAATGTACATTACCTGTCGTTGTCATTGTTTAGCTCTTGTGTGCGTACACTTAATGAAAGAACTTGATGTCCTAGTTAGCGTTGATGCTAATATCTTGGGAGTTTAAAAAGCCATGAAATATTCTAGCATACATGCCTCAATATTTGATGAAGCGCAAAAGGCTGACGGTTTAAAACCAGCGAAACAACTCCAACACGTTGGTTATCTCATGGCGCTTCTGCAGTACAACTCGTTTCAAAATTTGAACAAGTTATAAACAGCCTTGATGCAATTGTTGATATGAAGTACGATGCGGAGCTGGACGGTCTAAAATATCAGTTGCTCTTCTTCGAAAATATTGTATTTTTGCTTTTACTTGCTGTTGTGTTAGTACCAACAAATTTGCAAAGTTTCTACAAACGCGAAGCCTAGTTTAGTCAAAGATACACTAAAAATTAGACTTTTAAAAAAATGAGCTTAACAATATAACCAACAGTAAAAGTGCATTCTTTGCACTTATTCAAATAAATTTTTCAATTTATCTAAAGAGCGTCAAGGATTACGTTGATTAAGTAAAAACGTTGATTAAGAAAAAATAATTTGCTTAACACGATGTCAACGCCAGAAACAATTAATGAATTTTTTTAAAAAATAAAAGTACTATTTATGAGGAAATTAAAAAAGGAAATTGATGCAGCAATGCCAACTAATGACAATGTGTTTTTAGCGTTTGATGCATTTAATGCAACCAGTAAAAATCAAGATCTCAAATTTTTAGCTAACATTAGCAAACTTTCACAACTTTATGGCCATGCAAAACGTGCTGTCATTGACAAAGAAAAAGTTATTGCACCACCATTGTTTAATCCTATTTAAGATAATGAAGATGATATCCATCATTTTCTTTCTGATTATAGAGAAATCTTATTTAACCTTGAAATGAAAAGGAACCTAAAAATTCAAGCTTTATTAAAAGAAGACAGGTTAAAGAGTAGTAACATCAATATATATAAGCACAAACACCCGATAACAAGCGATACTATATACACTGTTTTCCGTACCGAGTATGCATGTGAGCAGTACTATGATATATTAAAGTTATTTAAATTGTCACTACTTATACCACCAAGCACGGCAAACGCCAAAAGAGGGTTTTCTATGCAAAACCTAATACATTTAAAACAAATAAATCGGTTTAGTATAATAGCACAAGATCGCCTTATGCAAAAATCTTTGGTTGGACCAGGAAATTTAATAAACCAAACATATGAAAAGTTGACTGACATTTATCGAGACTCGAATGAGAGACGCATTGACTTATAAAATGACGCATTGACTATAAAATGATTCATCCTCCTCGTTTTATTTATAAAATGGCTAGACCTGCAGATAACGATATGTTTGAGAATTTAGTTGTTTAATTTGTTTTGAATATTTATCAAATTAAGAAATAAATGATATTTTAGTGCTGAAGTTGCTTTTATGCAAAAGTTTTTGGCTATATTTATTTTTTTAGATTGATCATAGAAAGAAAGTCGTTTAGAAATGATTAACTAGTTTATGAGCATTAGACAAATATTTTAACAAAGTCAAGTTCTTTAAAAAAAAATTGTCGATTTATTTTTGCGAAGCATACATAACACAAAGAAAATTAGTCATGTTCACAATATTTTCCAATGATTATATTGCGGTTAGCTGATAACGGACCATTACAGCAGAAGTCCGATCAACGCAAATGGTCGATTTTTCGTTCCCTAAACCACATGTTTTAGAGTATTCTGTTAAAATATTTTGAAAAATTTTATTATGTAAGTTTGGTTATGTTTTCGCTGAGATTTCTAGCATAAATTTTTTAAAGAATATACTATCAAACAAACTATTAATTTAATACTATATCTCATTCTAAGACCCACATCTACAAAGCTATAAATGTTTTAAACTAACATTATTTGTTTATAAAAATAAATATTTTAAATTTATATTACTTTACATGTTAACGTTTTGTAAATATATTATTATAGATTTTATTATTATATTCTTTTTTTTATATCTAAGGGATGTTTTTTTTATGTAATGTAATTTTATGTATGTAATTTTATGTATGTGTATTTTATTTAAATGTTACCTTTTAAAGCAATTTGTGCAATTGATTTTGTAAACAAAAATACTTTCAATAATAACTGCCTTTTTAATGATATTATTAATAATCATCAAAGTTAATAACAAATAATTTTAACCAATAATCCATATTCCTCAGTGTACCCGATAACTGATTCTTTCCACTAAGAAAGAAAAGTTTTAAAGTTCTTAGAAATTGTTTTACTAACTTTAATTATTTTTTGCTTCAGTCATTCTCACAAACTCGTTATACTTGAACTTAAAGTTACTTTTTTTAGCCCACTCACTAAACATCATCAGTGGTATTGTGAAGCAGCTCCACTTCTTCCTTACAAAGTAATTTAACGTTTTTATTTAATTTCTATCTAGCTAATTGAATTTCTACAGTAACTCAATGAATTAATTGTTTAATTTGTTCATCTTACTAAGAAGAATTGTTTCAAATGTGTTAAACTTTTGAAACTACGCGAACCATAAAACAGTTATTGAAAAAACTTTTTTATTTATAAACAAATATTCTAGCGTTGGTTTTATTAGTTAAATCTTGTTGGACGTTTCAGGACCGGGGGCTGCATCATTTTGGTGGTTTTTTTTATGTGCCACAGCATAAAAATGACTTAAAAAGTTACCGAATGGCCCTCTTGGCTATTTCGCGGCGCCGTAACATTGTGAGTTTTGGGGCTTTAGCACCTCTCCCCCCCCCTACCCCCTTCTTAGTCCAGCACTGGAAATAAGACATAA